TAATTGAAATTAGGATTAAGTTTACGTGTTAATTTGTGCGTTTCAGTTCGTATTGAACAATATAGGGATCTAAAATTTGCCTTACTAATTACAAAATAATTGAAATTATGTAATTCCGGAATTGTCATTTTCAAAATCCGAAGTACCGATTGGCATCCCTAATGAAAAATAAGGCTGAAAATATTTAAATATGTATATAAAGTGTTATATTTAAATTTACTCAAGAGTAAATGTATGCACACTTAAATAAATAATCAAAAATACCTGTATGATAAAAATAATACATAAACACATACTTACATACATATACATCTATACATGCACAATAAGGAGTATGTACATAAATATGTAAATATATATTTTATGTTAAATACTTTGGTTAGAAACTCAAATACACATATAAAATTCATAATAAATGGTAATTTTTGGTTACTGTTTGATTAAGTGTTTTGTAGATAAATGTACTTAAGAAAGTATCCGGTAGGTGTGGGCGAAGTAAATGTATTCTTATAGACATAATTTTTCGAAAATGAATTTTGGACAAAAGACAACATTCACTTAAGTGTTCTATGTGATTGTAATCTATGAGGTGCTAGTCGGCTTCTATCTAGGATAAACGCAATATAAAAAAATAATTGTTAATTTCTACTTTTGTAAACAAATGTTATTCTATATTATCGGCAAAGTTTTTAGTGAGGTACATACATAACTAACTGCAGGGTTTTATATACATATGTAAATGTTTTTAATTGTTTGCAAGATTTATCAACATCATTATAAGGCAACAATCAATAAAAACCAAACCACATACAACGTATACAAATTTTAATAAATACAACCATACACACTCAAATTTGAATACCAAACTCATTTAAAATCTAATGCAAGTAGAATAAATGTATGTATGTATCTTTCAATAGGTTATAAGCACACATATGTTGGGATTCGATTGATTCGGTTAACACCAATAATAACAACAATAACATCATCAGTTAAGCCAATACACAGCAACAGCAACCAAACCAAAATATAACAAAATAAATAATATTTATAAATTATTCTATTGCTAAATTTAATGAACCATATATGATGTACTAACTAATACATATTGACAGGAATTAATGTATTTTACTAAAAAAAAGGTCATCAACATCCATATGAATCACTGTCCAGTACAGTGTGTGAAAATAGTAATTAATTAAAAAAATATTTGTAACCTTAACTTGATTGCGAGAATCAATCAAATTAAGAAGATACCTTCTAAGGGGATTAGGCGTATTTCAGCCATACTTTAAAAAATTTAAATTATAGTCAGAAAACTTGTAAATATACGAAATATTTTCAATAAGTAACAACTTTTCTATGCCAAAAAAATACTGTAACATTAAAAAAAACGTATTTATGATTGAGCAAAGACCCCAAAGGCCTACATTTATCTTAATATACGGAATGTTTATACCCACTATCAAAAAAGATGGGGGGTATATTGTTTTTGTCATTCTGTTTGTAACACATTGAAATATTCGCCTAAGACCCATAAAAGTATATATATTCTGGGTCCTTATTAGATTCCAAGACGATCAAGCCATGTCCGTCCGTAGTCTTTTAGTTGATGCAGTTTGTTTGGTATTGAAAATGGGCAATATAGGTCTACAGCCCCCATATAAGGTCCCCTTCAGAAAATGACTTTAACGCTCATTACTGTCCAAAAGAAGCATCTTTAGTGATGAAATTTGACATGAACATATTCTATAGGAACCTTAATATCATTGTTAAGTTTTGTAATGATCGGTCCATAATTGACACCACCCCCAATATAAGGTCCCCTTCAGAAAATGATTTTAACACTTATAACTGTCCAAAAGAAGCATGTATAGCGATGAAAGTCGAACTGAACATATTATATAGGAGCCTAAATCGCTTTTATAAGGATCGGTCCATAGTTGATCCTATCCCCCATATAAGTCCACTTCAGAAAATGACTTTAACGCTCATAACTGTCTAAAAGAAGCATCTATAGCAATGAAATTCGACATAAACATATTTTATATTTAATTTATAAGTATCGGTTCATAATTGACCCTACCCCCCATATAAGGTCCCCTTCAGAAAACGGCTTTAACGCTCATTACTAGTCTAAACTAAAATTGATCCTATCGATATACATATGTATGATGGTAAAATTATACATAGATCTAATAAATGAGAAAATTGTTTTGATAATAACAAACTCATCGATTCTTAAATATCAAAGTTTATTTATAAGGAAGTATTCCTTTTCGGATTTGATGGTGGGTATACAATATTCGGCACAGTCGAATATAAAACTCTCACTTGTTAAGAGTATCGGTTTGACATTAGACCCGTTATAAAGCTTTCTTGAGAAAATTGGTTTATTATTCTTCTGAAAATACATACATATGTATATAATTCATTAGAGTTTGATTCAAGTTTAAGCCAAGTTTAGTACAAAAATTCGATATAAATTAAAATTTAAAAAAATGTAACTGTAATTAGTGTTATTTCAAAATTTTGGAGTTCACTGTTAAAAGTCTTTATGTTTATATATATTTATGAACACAGAAAACCACACGACTTTACCAAATAAAATTGTTTTTTTTTTTGCAATAAAAATTATAGTGGTTTTAACTCGAACTAGTATGCAAACACAATTCAATAAATTAATTATATTTTAAATTATATTTTAAATCAAATTTTATATTGTTATTGAGTTATGCCGCAAAAATGTGTATGAGTAATCAAACATGAATATATTTTCTATATAAAATTGTAAATCGAAACTGAAATCTGATTGTTAAAAATAGTATAAGAATACCATAATACTAACATAGGTTTGCTTTTAGTTATGTCTATCTAAGAACTAAGACAAAATTAGATTGTGATTTTTTCAAAATAAATAAACATATTTTGTTAAAAGTTTTAATACCCAAGCATGTTGAATGCCCTGGATTAACATAAATTTCAAGATTTTATTTTGGATAAAGTTTGCATTTTCAGTATAAATTTTAATTGTTTGAAAATTATTCTTTATAGAAGACATCAAAATTTTCATTTAGTTTTTATTATGATATTCTCTACTATACGCAGTGGTTGCTCTCATACGACAAAAATCAAAGGAATAATGTTAAAAAAAATTATCTTTTAAAGGAACATCCATTTACTAAAGACAAAATTTTACTATTCTGATTTTGTTTTAGCAAAATTTAAGAAGTGAGAAGAAACAAGGGATCTGAAGAGCCAAACAGACTTACAACTTCTACAAAAGATTTATGAATATTTTTTATATATGTAAATGTTTATAAAGTGGTCGTTGGGTGGGAGTGTCAATATTTTTCGTATATCATCAGGAATATACCGAAGAAGTTACAAGCTGATATTCTAGCTTTTACTATTTTTATCGCATTTTTTCCATGTAACTGCCACCTGTATGGGGTATTTATTAATTATCTTCTGGATGATCTTTGAAGATAAAATATTAAATTTATGTACATATGTATATAATATTTTTTAAATCAATTTAATTATTGTAACGAATTTGCATTATAATACTGTTGTTTCCAATCTTCTAATCCTCGATGTGTTCATTCTTTCATAATTGTTTCTCTTATTATCAGAATTTTAATTTAGATTACTGATGATTATGTTTATGTTGAGAATTTCAATTGAAATGCTTTTCAACATATGTATAGTGGAATTATTTCTCAGTATCTATCTTTCTATATACATATATAAAAACGAATGTGTGTTTGTTTGTATGTTTATATGTTTGAACGTTATAGACTACTAAACGGCTGAACCGATTTTCTTCAAATTTTCACAGCGTATTCGTGCATGTCTGGAATAGGTAATAGGTTACTTTTTATTTTGAAATTCCAATTGGAGGAGTAGTCACGCCCATGTTAAGAAAACATTAAATCCGTATATTTGATCTCAAATTTTGTCGGAGCCACTTTAGTGTCAATATGATTATTTAGGACAAAAAGTAGGCAGACTAGCATTAGGGGGCGTGGCACCTCCCATATAAATTAAATACAAAAATTCGTTTATCTTGGAAAGTATTACAGTTAGAATCTTAAAATTTTGCACGAATAACTTTAACATCCACTTAAACATTTTTGGTAATAAATTGGCGAACTACCCATGAGGGAAGCGGCACCTCCCATATTAATGAAATACAAAAATTCGTTTATCTAGGAAACTAATGGAACTAATGGAAACTAATATTCACCTGAACATTTTGGAGGAAAAAAGCGGACTTTCATCTTGGTGGGGAGGGGGGTGGGAATGATCTTGTGGTGTGCTTGAAGTCACATTATGAATTAAATAGAAAAATTCGTATATCTGACAAACTATAAGAGCTAGAATCTTCAAATTCAAATCTGAAATTCATCTGAACACTTAGAGTATAATGGGCGGACTTTCAATGGAGAACTTGGCACCTCCCATATGAATTAAATATACAATTTCGTTTATCTGGGAAACTAATGGAACTTGATTCTTAAATTACATCACCACATACATATATGAATTAATTACAAAATTTCGGGTATCTTCGAAACTCTTATACTATTCAAATTTTTCATAGATAGATATAGACTGGGGAACTTGCAATAATTTGCTTCAGCTGCACTTTTCTTTAAATTAATGTTGTTTACACTACAATGCTCAACAATTCAAAATTAAAATAAACTTATCCTCGTATAAAAATTACAGTTAGGTGAAATAATACAAATATATAGTTTATTAGTCTTATTAACTTTTGCTTATTTGTTTTAAATTACAAAAGCTGTTTCAACAAATTTGGATAAAACAAATATTTGTTTTTATATTAACCGCAAATTAATTCTAATTGGCTTAGTAACTTTTCATTGTTGATGTAATTTTTATTTGAACATAAATATATAATATATGTTATAAGTACAATTACATACATACATATAGTATATTTAATAAAATTTAAAATTTATTAAAATTTTCAGATCTCGTTGAGGGTGCTCTGCGTAATGTCAATTTAATAATTGAACCACCTGCTGTTCGTCGTGGCCAACATGCTGTGCTACGTTGTATGTACGATCTGGAAGGTGCACCATTATATTCAGCGAAATTTTATCGTGGTCAATTGGAGTTTTATCGTTATACACCTGGCGAATTTCCAAATACAAAAGTTTTCCCATTTCCTGGCATACATGTTGATGTAAGTACTTAGTACATGTGTTTTTTAAAAAAGATAATATTTTTTTTGGTAATTGATATTTGAAACATTCATAATATGTATGTATATATAGCACTTGAGTTTTTTTATATTTCATCTTTTAAAGAATAGTTATGTCAATTTTATGGATTTTTAAATAAGTTTTGAAATTTACTGAAAATAAAAACTAAATTATTATTAGGGTTATTATATTGATTTTTTCCAAAAATATAATTCAAGAAAGTTCGGAAGAAATCTTTATATTTTGAAAAGTTAATTTTAATGTTACTGGTTACTTTGAAAGGTATGTGTTACTGGTTACTGATGCCACCTATTTTATACTAGAGTTTTACCAATAATATAAATTTTACATTTCATGTAGTATTTTATTTACAAAAGTAATTTAATTTAAAAATTATTTTGTATTTTACTAACGCTTGAAAGATAACAAATTAAAAAAATCTGTGAAAGAATCTATTATGCCACAAACTTTTTTCAAGTTTGAAAAGCTTTTAAAAATATTAAAAAATTGGTCACAAAACCACAAAGATATAAATAAAAAGAAAAAGAATTAAACTCTTTTAAAAACTACACTAAAATAAATTAAAAATGCATGCAATCTTGTTTTCTTTTTTCATCGTTTTTTTTTTGAGTCAATAGAAAAATATTGGCAAAAAAGTACAGCAACAAAACTGTTACAAAGTTAGAATCATGTAAATTGTTAAAATTTAGTTTGGTTTGCAAAACAGAAAACTAGGAATGAGTCTACTCCTACTTTTACTATGGCATTGGCACCAATAACCATTACGTTACGTATTTTCTAAAGATTTCTAACACAAAAATATTAAACTAATAGATGTAGAATATAAAAATGTATGGAATATAACACGATAAATAAAAACTTTAGGTAAATTGGTTTGTAAGACGAAATTGTTGTAAAACAAAGGAAAACAAAATTGTGATAAAATCAAGAAAAATGACAAATAACTATGAAATTTAATAAATACCTTAAATATACATTTGAACAAAATAAAAAAAAATTGTTTAAATATTTTCAGCTTTCCTTCTTAAACTTATCTTTATTTTGTCCTCAACTGTAGTTATTTGCGAACAAACAATATGTACCATAGATTTTTATAACCATACAAACACATTTATCGTTATCCAGTCATTTAAGGTAACTGTAAAGGATGCAATTTTCCATTATTTTTTTTTTGCAATCGTTAACGGTAACACTAGAGTTGCTGACATTGGCATTACGAAACACCAAATAACAATAACGATTAAAGCGTATACAAAAAAAAAATTAAAACAAACAGAAAAGCATATAGAGTCTTAACTTCAGGAATAAAAAATAAAATGGTGAAAAACGTTCCTTTAAAATGGTCGTTGTAATAAAAGCAGCAGTTGTTATAGCATTTCGTTATATAAACGAAGTATTTGGCAGAATATAAAATGATAAATATTTTTCCATATTGACCAATAACAATATGCATATAAGTATGTATGCATACCTGTACATTGTTCCACTAAGCTCTTGAAGTTGTTAAATTCGAGTAGAATTGTGGTTGAAATAAACAAATTAAATTGGAATATTTCGCAAAAACAATTCTTTCTGTGGCTTCCAAAGTTATATAAAATAGGAATAAAATGAAATTGTTTATAATTGCTCTGCTTTATATTCTGTGGAAAATTCTAATATGTGCAAGGGGTATTAATGTTAAACTTGTTATAGAGTTAATCCTTAAGTTTCTTTTAAAGATAAACCTCTCAATGTAGTCTATTTTACTACTAGCTGAAATTTATATTTATTTTCTCCAAAATAACTTTTTGTTTTAGAAAACACTTTCAGAAATCTCTGTCCAGCATTTTTAGATGCTACACTACTGTGGTGGGGGTATTAAGTGTTTATTCTGATGCTTGTGGCAGCCAAAAATAAAGGTATGAATGTCGAAGTGCTTTACGTGAACACCTGCCGGGGGGCCTTATTTCACGGTGGTCTTCTTGAACCACTTCTTACCCGCCGGTGGCAATTTACGTATATGGAATTTCCGGTCCAGTATACGTGCACTTTGCTCGAGTGCTCAAGCTATCTAATCTCTTGCCATAGTAGTCCCGTTGGGGAAGGACAGGTGTCATGAACAAGCTCAATCAAACCCCCACAAAGGAAAACCGTATATGTCGCCCAACCACACTACTGAGATGGCTCTGTTGATTCGGCAACAGCACTTAGAGGACGTAATTGGTAGTCCGAAACACAGATCATTTTAATCGACAAGACTTATTTCAGTGGCCACAAAGACCCTCTGTAATAAGTTGAACATGTTTTAGAGTAAACTACGTCTCTCTCCGTTTTGCCAAACCTCAGTTCAGCACATCTCTTCCGTCACTCCACCCTTCAGTCCCTTCATCACTCCATCCGACTAACCTCGGATATAACTCGGAATGCATCCAATCCATCAGATACAAGTACCTTATGATACGCCAACACCTCGTATACCCAATCTTTGCATTATCAGCTCAAATCCAACATTTTATTAATCCACAGTCATGGTTTGTGGCCTGTGGTTTGTGCAGCTCCTGGAATCTAGGAGGGGTAACAGAAACTAATACCGAAAATTTATATTTCACAGTGTTTCGATCTTTTAACCAAGCACTCTATTTCTGCAAATTTAGGTTTAAACCACAGGCACTACGTGGATACCGAAGGAACCTCAACCAACTGACCAGCCAGGACACTGTACTGCGGCAACTGGCCACCCGTAGTACCAGATTATGTAGTGCTCTAGTTGGACCCCATGCCAAATCATACCGGGATTGCAATACACCAAGATGCTTGAAGGTATATTGGGGTACTTTAATAACAATCTTAAAGTATACCAATCTGCTCACATTTTTTTCGATTTATCTTTGCCAGTCTGTAGACCTTCTGTGCAAGAAACAGGTCACAATTTTTAAGATAAATTGATGAAATTGACCACATGCGTATATTTAAGTCTGTCCCTGAGCTAATTCATTTACTATTTTTTTGCTCGTCGCTGGGTACTGTTTTTTTTATTAGTTTAAAAATGTTGTTCTACAATACGTATGATTATTGTGAAATTATGTATACGCCTTCGTTAAGTCGTTAATATGATGAATTTATATTAAAAGTTAATTAAAGCATTTATAAAATTATAAAATTGATATGTATGTATCTGTTTGTCAATAGGTGGTCTTTAAATAGGTATATTGAAATTAAATGTCTGTAAATTAGTAAAAACTTTTAGTGATTGAACAGACTTTAATAGTTTAACTAATATAAATACGCAAATCTTTAATTACAACAATGTAAGCAATTTAATTTTTGTCTTATCATATCCTTATATACATACGTGTGTATAACTTTAACACCATTATAATATGTATATCTTTTTGTATTTCAACCCTTAGGTCACCAGTTCGAATGCGACACAAGTGTTAATACGCAATGTGGGTTTTGGTTTATCCGGCAATTTCTCATGTGAAGTGACTGCAGACGCACCATTATTTTCTACAGCAACCGCTTTTGGCGCTATGCAGGTTGTGGGTAAGTTAAATAAGTGAAAAAAGAAAGAGAAAAACTTAATACTTGTAGTTAATTGGAATCATACATATTGTATGAAATATAAAACAGTTGTGTGTACTTACTTCATACAATCATACATATATATTTAACAATCTACAAGATACTTTTTTTATATGACTGTTCATTTATTTCTGGACAGTAAATGAATAGTCATTAAATGTAAACCTTAAAAGGTGAAAATTACTACAACAATATCCAAATGCTGCTATAGGCAACTTAATGATAAATTGAAGAAAATACAAAAAAAAAAAAAAAATATATATATATATATATATATATATATATATATATATATATATATAAAATGTCCAAACTTAATAAACCCTTACAACATTAAGTCAGAAATAACAATAATGATTATAAATTGTGAAGGAGTAAATTAAACTGAGTATTTTAAAAATAAATCAATGCATTGTACTGTGAAAGATTATAAATATGTCTTTATTGGCAATTTTCTATAAAATAAATTAAATTAAATTAAGAAATTTAAAATTTGCTGTAACTTTTTGGGTGAAATTTTCATTTATTAAATTCGAATTATTTGAATTTTGAAAATTTTCAAATTGTCTCACTGTGCGCTTGCAAAATAAACATAAAAATCCCCTTTAAAAGATTGAAATTATAATGCACCTCTTTTTAAGACAATAAACACAATTAAAAAGACACTTAAAGTTAACTAAGTTTCTTATCGACTGCGCAAAAAAGACAAAAAAAAACAAAAAAGAATTAAAAGAAAATAAAAAAGTTTAATTATGGTTTACAAGAGCAAAAACACATTTTTCGTCATTAATGTTTGACAATATTTTACACTCGACAAACAATACAAGACACTCGTACTCATACATTTATTTAGCGTTAATTGTTAACGTTGTTGCCAGAGGGTGAAAAGGGGCATAAATAAGAAAATAGCCTTGTTTAAATTTAAATTTTCAAATCATAAACTTTTCAAACAACAATAACACTCTGACATTGGGCTCTTAATAAAAGTTTTTTTTTTTGTTAATGTTGCCAAACAAATCATTAATTTTCTTAAATTTACAAAACAAATAAAACTTTTACATTATTGCCATCCTCTTAACATCCGCTTACTCCTTTGAGCTGTTGTCGGTGTTGTTGGGGTTTTTTGTCAAGCGGATACGTTTCACACAATGAAAAGTCTATAATTGTAGCCAGTATTTCCTTTTGCTCTCACTCATGTCACGGTAATCATAATCAAGTGGTGTAACATTGTTTTGGTAAAATGTTGTAAAACATTTTTGTAACATTAACAGGTCATTGCGTAAACTTGACAGTTAGTCAAGTGATGCACAGACATACATACATCTATTACAAAAAACTACGCAGGAAATGCTAGTCATCTTAAGCAAATGCTTAGAGAGAGATAGACAGTAGGTAAGATACACACAGAGAGACTGACAGAAAGGTGGACGATATTTTACCACCTTTTAGTTGTGTGTTTGTTGTTTTTCTTGTAAATATATTTTTTTTGTTTAAACCTTTTGAAGATGTGCCCTTTTGTTGAGCAGCAACTCATATTTAAGCTGTTTAAGTCACGGTTACTTAGTTGAACATTTTTAAATGTTGTTGTTTACTGTACCATTGTTGTTAATGTTACAGATGCGTAGGTAGGTTGAGGAAAAATATCTGTCACGTATTTTTTCTTATAGTAAGTTTAATTTTTAAATTTACTCTTTTTAAATTGTGTTAAACAATTTAAAAATATCTGGGAACAAAAGAGGTGATTATTTCCTATAATAACTACGGTGGCGTGTCCTAATGTGCAGTGTCAAAATCTCCATAGACCTTATGACTCACTAAACGGACGTTATGACAATTTCGAAAGTGTTACAATGTCCATGAGATATGCGACCTAAAGTCCATGGATTTTAAAGAGTCTATTTGTCAAAAAAAGCTTAATTTAGCGAAGCCGGTATTCGAAATACCCCAGAGTTACCCCAGTGCCAGGCCGAAGGCCGGCTATCCAGGACACTTTTTAAGAGGAATCCAAAATGGAACATATAGCAAATTTAGGACCAATACTTTTTGGGATAAGTGTGTCCCTTTCTTAAATTCTAAACAAATTTTCCAATACATTTCTGTTTTAAAAGTGTCACAATACCCATGGACATTATGTCGTTTTATGGAGTATCATAAAGTCATTATGACACTGGACATTATGAAACGCCACGATAAATATCTTAAGACCATTCCTTTTGATTGGCCCTTACTTTATCCTATGTCTAAAGCTATTAGAGCTCTACATAAAAATATAAATAATTTAAATATATATAAATATTTTCCCTAGATATAGGCAGTTAATGGTGCGTGAAGTAATGTGACAAAAGTAGGCTTTTCGGTGGAAATGCCCATATGCATGTGTTAATGCAAAACGTGATGCAATAAGTGATAAAAGTAGATGGCATCAAAATAATTTAATGGCGACTGCATATTTGACAGATAAGTCTTTAGATTAGACTGTACATCAAACTGTAATCTATTCATTAGTCTTTAGACTAGACTCTTATCAAATAGGGGTATATACTACTCTTATTATTACAGTCTACAGTAGTAGACTATAATAATAACAGTAAAATTTTTATCAAAGATTTTTATTTTGTCTGATCAACATTATTTTCTTTAGACTGAAATATAGGACAGTCCTTCTACCAGAGATGTTGATCAACTCTCCCTTACTATAGATTTTTTTCAAAATATATAAATTTCTATTTATAGTAAAAACTAATTTCTGCTCAGTCAAGAATTTTCAATAATTTACAAACTAATCACAAAATATTCAACAGAAATTATTTATACATAAAAAAACATAATTACACTTCACCCCACCCTTGAGCATTCGTGAACGGGTGCCTGTGTTTAGCAGATCCACCTTTTCCACTTTTTAATGTTTCTTAGTTATTATGAGAATTTTTTTTTGTTTCTTTATACTATGTATATTTCACTGTGATTATACGAATATTTTACGCATTCATGAATTTTGTAGGTGCTTGGGTCTTTAAAAACAGGTATTTCTTTCGAATGTTTTTTGCTGGCATCATCATATTCCATCTCTTAGAATTTTGGCCTTGTAATGCTGTTGATGTTGTTGTTCTTGCTGTTGTTTTGTGATGAGGCAACACATTGAAAAATCTGTCTGTCATTTTAGCATGTACCAGCCATTCAGTCAGTGAGGCAAGCCAACACTTTTCATTTCGGGTTAATAGTTGAAAGGAGACTATAGAGAGAGAGAGGTTTCTTACAAAACAATTTTATCATTTAACTATTGTTGTTGTTGCTTGTTCCTTTCATTGTATGAGTACTCGTGCTCATGTACATACTTTTATTTTGTGTTTATATTCTGTGTTTCTCCTCTTCCTTTACTTATTTTACTTATAGTCTATACAAAGTTTTAAGTGGTTATTGTCCTGTAAAACACTTTTCGAATTATTATCTTTTTTTTTAATCTTAGAATCTAATATTGTACATAAATATTTAAAATTTAATAAGACAACAAAAACAAAGTTTGCCTTTTAAATATAAATTGAGTTTTTTTTAACTTTCTTTGGCGGTTGTATATAAAGGGGTGTGGGTAAAAGTTTTTTTTAGTTTAATTTATAAAGCTTGCTTAACAAAAATATATGTTCTTTAAAGTGTTAAATTGTTTAATATACAGACTTAGCTTGGTAAATAATCTAAAATTAATTACTTAGAGAAATTCAACAATAAAATTTATCAGTTACTGATAATTATACTGAAGTTTTTTTGACAAATTTAAAAAAAAACTGATTCATTCCGTTGACAACAAATTCCGTTATCTATTATCGATAATTTCCCTGAAGGATTCTTTTTATTTAGTTTCACTCTCAATTTCAAAATATCGATTTTAGTGTATCATAAATCATACGATAGGTATAAGAACTATATTCACTGATAAAACAAAAATCTTAAAACCATCAAAATACATACGCCAAAACAAGCACTACTTTTTTCGATACTTTTGTTAACTTTTAAACAAAAACAAAAAAAAACAAGTAAGAGTGTTATATTCGGCCATGCCGAATCTTATATACCCACCATCAAATCATCCTTATAAATAAACTTTGATATTATCGATCTATCCTTGTCGGTTTATACAATAATTATTTGTATCTAATGTAGCTGTACTTGTATCTTTAATTCAGTCATGAGGTTTAAAATATTTATCTGAAGGGAAAATGGGTGTTTGATTAGTTATCCTCATCAAATTCAGTTGAAAACTTCCAGTTCCTATAAAACTACCGTAATTTGGAAGAACTTTTGAGCCATACATGAGCGTTAAAGTGATTCTCTGGAGTGAATCGTTAAAGGCGCCCCTATACGCCCACCCCCGTATAAGTCAATTATGGATCGATACTTCTAAAATTTAAAACGATTTTTAGTTTTTGGCTAGTACAAAATTTGTTTACGTAGATTTTCACTGCTGTAATCGCATTTTTGAGTCAGTAATGAGCGTTAAAGTCATTATCTGAAGGGGACCTTATAGGGGGGTAGGCTCAATTACAGACTGATCCTCATAAAATTTAGTGGGAGATTTTAGCTAATACGAAAATTGTTTATGTCGAAATTCATCGATATACTCACATTTTTGAGTCAGTAAAAAGCCTTAAAATCATTTTCTGAAGGGGACCTTATATGGGGGGTAGGGTCAACTATGAACCGATCCTTATAAAATTTTACGAAGAGATTTAAATTCTTATAAAACACGTTTGTGCCGAATTTCGCCTCTATTGATGCCTCCCTTAGCCCGTTATGTGCGATAAAGTCATTTTCAGACGGGGACTTTATATGGGCGGTAGGGTCAGTTATGGACCTATCCTTATAAAATTTTACAAAGAGATTTAGGTTCCCATAAAATTTGTTTGTGCCGAACTTCACCGCTATTGATGGTTCTCTTAGCCAGTTATGGGCCATAAAGTCATTTTCTG